ATTTCAAGAAATAAACCATATTCAAAGACCAGAACCTGACCTGAAAACCTTTTATTCTACCGCCGGAAACCTCTCCAGGGCTTTCTCCCAGAGACCATTTCCTTGTTGAATTGAGGCTCTCCGACTTCTCCTTTCTCCAAAGAGAAAGAACTCCACCATATAGATGCCCCAAAAAGATCGTCTCTCCTCGTATGACAGTGCCCCATTGAAGGGTGGATATTTTTGATGATTGCTCATTTCCCTTCAAGCTGAAAAATTGGTTGTCATATTCAACGTTTTAAGGACTTTAAGGACTCATTCTTTGCAAGAAAACAGGCTTCTAAATCAAGTTCTTCTCCTTAAAAGTGGGGTCGTCTCCTGCTCAATGCCGCCTGTTAGCCTGTTAGCCTGTTATCCTGGCAATTGACAACTTAACGATGGCTCTGCTCTGGCTGCCTCCTGGCATGTGTGTGTGTGTGTGTGTGTGGCATGCTCCGAAAAACATTATCACGCACGCTGCGGGGAAGCACAAGGATGTGGGTGGCATATAATAAAAAAAAAAACCCAGCATAAAAATGCACACAAGACAAAGGACATGTCGGGTACTCGGCGATATGTGTGTTTAATAAAAAAATTATGAACTTCAATTACGATGGAGAGCAGGCGGCAGGTCTCTGAAAAGTGAAGGGAGAAGGAGACTGGAGACAGGAGACAGGAGACGCCGCATCGAGTGCATAAAATGCTGAGCAAATAGCCAGCGGGGGGGTGGCGGAGGGGGGCGTGTCATATGTGTGGCTCATAACAGTATCCTTGTGTGTGTGTGTGTTTGCATGGCATAATTCGTTCCTGGCGAAAGTTGTAAACCCAAAAGCGAAAACATGGCGGAGTAAGGGTCCTAAAGGTATGGTAGGGGGATGGTGCTGAGTGCTCCTGGGTGGGAGGGGTGCGGCGGGGTGTGTCACAGGGAGACGCGTGCATGTGAATGGCGGCCATAAATCAACCGACGACAAGCAGTCGAAGGGCAACCGCTCAGGGATTAGAGGAGAGTGCACTCCCCCTCCCCCCCTGCCACACGGCTTATGCCTTTAATTGGCTTTCCTCGCCTCCGTAATCCCCCACTTTCTCATAAGCATAATCGTTATTGTAATCGTGGGGCAGAGGCGCAGAAGAGTGTCCTCCAGGGTGCGGTGGGGGGTGGGGGGCAACAACGGTGGCAGGTGGCACAAACGGAAGGGGCAGCCACCAAATGGCGGCACTTAACACTTTTGCAAAATGTCGTCCTCCATTTTCGGCGCGGACATTTTCATTTCTTTTCGCCTTTTGCCCGTTTCTCTGTTTGTTTTTCATTCCTCTCTCGCTCTCTCTCTCTCTTTCTTTCTCTTTCTCTACGACATACACATGTGGGTTTGACAGCTGAAAGCAAGGAACTAATTTCTCGTGCCCCTTCGTGTCACCTCTTTTTTTCCCATATTTTCACACTTTCCGAGACAGTAATAGAGAAAGCAACCCGAAAGTTTAGTGCCATTTGGTAAACGTCTGTGTGAAAAACGTCTGTGTTAGAAAATATAGGAAAATTTGGTAAATAGTAGTTAGCGGATATTTCTTTACTGTGCTGACAAAATGGACGAGCGACCAATTATTTGTGACGTTTGCGGCCTGGCGAAGTCAGACGATGAGACGAGCCTCTCGGAGCCGGAGAGCCAGAGCGAGCCAGAAAACCAGAGCGAGCCAGAAAACCAGAGCGAGCCAGAAAACCAGAGCGAGCCAGAAAACCAGAGCGAGCCAGAAGACCAGAGCGAGCCAGAAGACCAGAGCGAGCCAGAAGACCAGAGCGAGCCAGAAGACCAGAGCGAGCCAGAAGACCAGAGCGAGCCAGAAGACCAGAGCGAGCCAGAAGACCAGAGCGAGCCAGAAGACCAGAGCGAGCCAGAAGACCAGAGCGAGCCAGAAGACCAGAGCGAGCCAGAAGACCAGAGCGAGCAGAAGACCAGAGCGAGCCAGAAGACCAGAGCGAGCCAGAAGACCAGAGCGAGCCAGAAGACCAGAGCGAGGAGGAGAACAAAGAAGTAGACGACAAGGAACAGTTCCAGAACGAGTGTCGTCAGCTGTGGCTCATGCTGAACCGCAATGGGCTCGAGCTCAAGAAAATGACAGCGACTCAGCAGCAGCTTGAAAAGGACTTGGAGGGTGTTGAGCGCCTCACCGAGATGGGTCGTTTTATCAAAGACCGCTTAGAGCAGGAATCGCACAACAACATTTAGCTGCAGCCACAGCAGCAGCAGCAGCCACAGCAGCAGCAGCAGCAGCCACAGCAGCAGCAGCAGCCACAGCAGCAGCAGCAGCAGCAGCAGCAGCACATACACAAGCACATTTAAAGGGGGAAATGTAGCAGTAACAACAACGCAAAGAAAATACTATAATTTGTATTGTTAATACGTACACTACACGCGACACTAGCCGTAGAGAGACATGTATTTTAGATTGAAGTTTGTAATTAAATTCAAAGTGTGGGAAATATAGCCAAAGAATTGCAATGGAATCGATCGTTTTCACTCAGTCGCCTCGCACTAACGGTGGGAGTGGGAGAGTCCCAACAGAAACATTGCTCATTCGTCGCCTCTCGTTCTCTTCCAGCAGGTGGTCCGCTGCTGAGAGCGCTATGACGCTATGACGCTATGACGCTATGCTTAACAAGAGAGAGAAGAACGATGTTTGCTGTAGTTCTAAGCAAAAGCGCATGCGAGAGAGTGCAAGCGAAATTGTTTTTGCCTCTCGGACCGAAAGCCGAAGAGACGAACCGAAGTGATGTTTGTGTCGTTGCTGATCTGTCGGCTGATAAATATGTATGTACATATGTCTATTTGTTGCTATTCCTCTGTCGATGCTCGCGTTGTGGTTTTGCCTGGGCGCGGTGGAGAATGAGGGAGTGCAAAAACTTGAGCGATCGAAAAAATGAGCGTACCTATTGACACTTTGGGTATGCTCAACTTGTGCCTCTCTCATATCACTGATATCAATATGGAATGAGCAAAGACAATACCGTCTCTGCTGTCACAGTTCACGGGGTATCTTGCGCTTGCTCATGTGCTTGGTGGAGTGGGAGAGTAAGCAGTAAATGGGACTCTCATTCTCCTGCAATGGCCAGAAAAGTGTTTGTATAGATTTATTTGGTTGGGTGGCGAAAGGCTCTGGTTCTGGTTTTGTTTCCGCCCAAAAGTGGCAGCATTTTATCTGGCAGCCCCAGGCAGGCAGTCGTCGTCCTCGTTGTCGTTCACGTCTTTGAGTCTTACAGCGTCCTTTGGCCAGTCATTGTATCTTGAAAGTCCTGCTTCTCCTTGCAAACGCCAACGCCAATGCCGCCCCCGAATGTTGCATAAACAGCTTACAGAAAAACAAGCAGCAATCTGGGGCATATAATATGGGGGGCGTTTATCATTTAATTAATTGCCTTTCGGGGCAATTTTCATTAAGTAATTTTCGCCTTTCGCTCTTGTTTGCTCTTCTGCTCTCTTTCGTGTTTTTCTTTTCTCTACGCTGCATGCCACACACAAGCGCCCATGGTCGGGGCATTGCAGTGGTTGTGTGGGCGTGTGTGTGTGGGAGCAACAGCTGTGCCACATATTTATTGAGGGAACGGAGGCTCCTTTCATGTGGCAGAGACTGTGTGTGGGTGTGTGGGTGTGTGGGTCGATCGGCTCCAAATTGCCACTCGTTGTAAAGTGGCAATTAACGCCACATGACGCTGTCAACAAATGGCGGCGCCTCCCCCCCTAACCCCACCCACCTACCCGCATTCTACATATGTACATCCGAAAGCCACTCTCCATCCACCAGGCATTTGTTAAGTGCATTTTTCCATAGTCCCTCCCCCCTGCCCCCGTCCCCCGGCCCGCGCACAACCCATGTATGCTGCCCCACCGGTCTGTACTAATTTTAAAATTATTACTTGAGACCCCAGACAGCAGCAACATGAATGAACATGCCCCCGAGAAGCCACACACACAAAAACAAAGGCGGAACAAAATGGGAACAAAAGAACAATTTTCAACTCATTTTCCTGCCACACACGCGCGCGTACAGCTGCCACCAATTGAGAGGTGTAGCAAGTGGAGCGGCAATTTTCCCATCAAAAATGTCAGTAGAACGTCATTACGCATCGATCCGGCATTTAATCGGTTTTAAAGGAACCTTTTCGATAATTTCATAAAGTAAAAAGTAGGTCATATATGGACTTATGAATTGATTATGAATTCGAATTAAAACAAAGGGAGAGACTATGATTTTCTCTGCATTAAAACACATTAACATTATTTGTATGATTCCACTCAATTTTCGTGCGACGTCCGCGCTTTGCTCTCGGCGCTCTGCCAGCAGCTCTGCCGACTGCGCGGCTTCGGTTCGAGCTGACCAGCCGAAGCCGAGTAGGCAGCGGGCAGAGAGCCTCGGGCAGCGGGCAGAGAGCCTCGGGCCGCGGAGCTCAAAAGAGAACTCCCGCCCACACTCCTTGTGTGAGAGTGAAATAGACATACTTTTAGATGTTTTACTGCTCCGCACACGAGCTTATTTCCCTGATGCGCCATTTGGAATGATCGAGCGTCGATCTATGGACTTTTTCCGCGGCCGTGTCTTTGGCATTTTCCTAGAGGAGAATTATTCCTGGTTTATTAATATAAGATAGGGTTGCCGCATTGGCCAAGAGGGGTTATAAGAGCTTTGAATCGGGTTTCAATCTTCTGTAAATCTGTGGCAAAAGTGGCATTCATACCCGATTCCAAACCCAAACTGAGACCCAGTGTCCTTGGTATCGTGCTTATAGGAATCGGGTCTGTAAATCTGTGCCATTCATTGGCTACTCTGGAAAGATATTCAAAGCCAAAGAGTGGAAATCCCACTAAATCGATCTCAAAGAAGGATCTCTATGAAGCAGAATAAAAGTATCATTTATTTATCCCTAAAATCTTTTCACTTTCATCTTTGGAGCCCCATAGAACCACTTTTAATGCCTGGTTTTTTCCTTGCAGGCTCCACGGATAGCGCTTCGAAGCGCTTCTTTACAGACTTCTTGCAGGATTTGCCCACGCCAGGCACCGGCGGACCCACCTTTGACCCCAGCGCGATCAGCAATATCACAGGACTCGTGGGCAAGACCGTTAAGATGACCTGCCGTGTCAAGAACTTGGGCAATCGAACGGTAAGTACGGGGCACACTCGCTCACAGAGTCCTCCAGGGAGTGGCAGTGGCAGGGCCTGTGTGTCCGCTCTCAAGTTTTGTGTATAATAATTTTTAAGTACTTTGGCCGAAAATAAAAGTAAAAGTAAAAGTAAAAGTTTTCGCAGTGCAGGCAGGGAAACTTGTCAAAAGGCGTTACGCTTGACAGGGCGGTGAGTGCTCCGCGTGCAGTGGCAGCTGCAACATGCGGCATGCAGCAGCAGCAGCAGCAGCAGCAGCAGCCCCATCTCTAGTGCTGACGGCAGCTGTCGCTCTGTCGTTTTTGGTTTGGATTTTAGCTTTGCCCCTCCGGGAGTTCGACTGAAAAGTTGTAAGCTCCTCCTGCCGCCCGACTGCCCGACTGGGCCCCCCTTCTGCCGCCCCTCCTGCCGGCCCTCCCCGTCTGGCACTGCCACCGCCACTGCCCGCTTTTCATTATGAAAATGCAGCTGGAGATGCAGTTGCTGTTGGAGTTGTTGTTGTTGCAGCTGTTAAACAATTAGCAAATTAAACTCTGAACTTTCAACGCTCTCCCCCTCAACCGCTCTACCCCTCTCTCGGGGAAAACAATAAGAAAACACAAAGGCGGGGCCCCTCGCCCCACCATCCATCCTTCGTATGAGTGACGGCCCCCCGCCTACTGTTTCCTCTTCACTTTTTAGACCAAGTTTTTCTCAAGTGTCGCGCGCGCGGCCATAAAACTTTCAAAATTTTTACGCTTTGCCGGCTTATTAGGTGAGTGCCGTCCTGCCGTCCTGCCGTCCTGCCTGTTGTCCTAGCCTTAGCCCTAGGCAACATGCCCCATGCACCATGCTCCATGCCTCCGCCCAAATTCCACAAAAAAGTTTCGGCCTCTCGCTTCCCGTTTTAATTTCAGTTTGACAAAGTGCATGAATGAATGAATGAATGAATGAATGAATGAGTCGAAGCTCGAGTTTCCGTTGACCCCTCCCCCACCCCTCAGAAGGGGGTCCTGGGGCTGTCAAGTTATGGACGCGCGTCCGTCTAATTACCGAGTCTCACGCCAACAAACGCCAATTAAATGTGCCATGAAGGCGGCCCCGCCCCCTGCCCCGAACTTTGCTGCATGCAGCCCCAAAACCCAGGGGCAAGGCTGCATTCTCTGGGGAGGTTCTTCTGCCCAAAAATGTATTCTTATGTTTTATTTTTTCGCAGATGATCAATAAATAGATAAATATCCTCAGTGGCAGAGTCATGAACGTGCCACTGGAACTTTTGGAGCCACTTTATCGAATAGGCTACCCCCCGTACCAAAAATCAAAGCAAGAATCCAGCATCACGTCTTTTGGGGCTTCATGTCTTTGGGCCGTATATTACCTGCTCTATGGACAGGAGTTTTGGTTACGTGATAAGTGGGGCGGGGGATGTGGGGATGTGGGGATGTGGTGTCCTGCCCGATGGTCTCCTCGATGTCCTTTAGCCGGTCATCGATGCTGCCTGCTGATGAGCTGCTGCTAAAAGTTCGGATAATTAATCACGGCTCCCAAGAGTCCCAGAGCTTGCCTGTCTCTTGCCTGTCTGCCCCCCCCCCCCCCCCCCCCCTCTGGCCCCTCCTCCTGCAGCTGTCTAATTACTCAGAGATGTTGCAAGTTCCATGTTCCATGAGTTACGGCCGTACATGGGGGGGTACATGAGTGGCAACGAGAGGATTTTCGGAGTGCAGCCAGCCAGTCATTTTCCATGCAATTTACTCATTTTACAACACTTGTTAATTCTTCTCTTTAATAAGACGCACCCAAAGGATGTTTGGGCAAGTAATAGCTGGGTGTTGCTTTATCGATAAGTTATCGATATTCATAGATTTGCATCAATTTAACTATCGTTTCGGTAGATAATCGATTAGTAAATGAAAATTGAATCATAGTTCTGATAAATCATTGGTTTTTAATCAAATTATAGCTGGGAGTTTCGATATGCTAACGATTTTAAATCGAAAACTAGCTACAGCTTCGAAAATGTTATCGTTTTTCATCGATATGATCGATTTTTGTCAAGCAATTAATTATTGTGTCGATAAGTTATCTATTAGTTCATGAAAATAAGTAAAACTTTCGATAAGTTATCGGTTTTAAACCAAATACCAGCTAGGAGTTTCGATGTCCCATTGATAGTGCATCGTAAACTAATAACAGCTTCGATAAGTTATCGATTTTCATCAAAAATTAATAACAGACTATTTATTTGATTTTTTTCGATAAATTAATTATTGTGTCGATAAGTTATCGATTAGTTTTTTAAAATTAAGTAATAATTTCGATTAAAAAAAATATAAAACAAATTTCGATATATTTTTGGTTCTTAAACGATAAATATTTGGTGTTCCGCTGTGTTATCGGCTTCGATTCCACGCTGAAAAAATCGTGCACCAAGGAAATGTGCGGGCACTTATTCATGCGCCTCCTTCAAGAGTCACAGCTGCAGGAGCCTCAGAAAAGTGGCAGCCTCCACAGCTACTGAAATGGCGATGGCTGGACAGAGCCAGGACATTGGCTAGTGTCATCGCTTAGATTCTCACAACGGGACATGTCATTTGCGGTGTTCTCGGTTGGCGAGAATGACCGCAAGTCCAAGGCCGCAGAATGCGAATGAAGCAAGACGAATGAAAGGAACGAATCAAAGGATGAATGGATGGATGGATGTATGTCCAGATGGCGCACACATATGCATGTCAGTTCATTAGTGTGTAATTGTGAGAGCAGAGAAAGTGCACATCGATTGGCATTTACGAATTGAATTCTCGAATGTCCAGAGGCCAGAGGCCAATGACCGCAGAGCCACACAGAAAACCGCTCGGAGGGGGCTAGAGGTCACCTCCTCCTGCCGCTGCTGCCGCTGCTGCCGCTGTTGCAATTGAAATTGTTGCGGTTGGTTTTACAAGTAAATTGTCAGAGAGCCAGAAGGCCCCAGCCAGGTGCACGGACCTGCAATCCCAATCTCTCCAGCCTCTGCCGCCTGCACTCCCCAGCAGCAATTGAAAATGCAATTTAGCGTGTGAGGCAGTCTTTTCCGCGTTATACCCTGGACTTGAGACAGTGGAAAGGGGTTTCAGTTATTTGTGGCGGGAGGATGACCCTCTAGAGATTGACACATTCAAGACTCATAAGTAATGATGATTATTGCCCTACTCGCCCATTGCCGGCCAGGGTATGCCTCTGGTCTGTCTTCGTACTCGCTTCTCGTCGCTGGCACTCGTTTCTGTTGTGTGACCATCTCGTCCATTTCATTCGCAGGGTATGCCCCTTGTCTGTCTTCGTTCTCGCTTCTCGCTGCTTTTTTTTTTTGCTCCGTTACGCTGGCACTCGTTTCTGTTGTGGGGCCTTCTCGTCCATTTCACTCGCCTTTTTTTTCAAGCCCTGCTGTCTGCCGTTCAATCTTTTGGCCTTTTGTTTTGTCAATGGAAAAAACCACACCCCACCCCACTCACCCCCCCGCCCTTCAGGTGTGTGTAACGGCGATTTCGATGAATTTCGTTGCGTTTTTCATTTCGTGGCGCTTTTCATTTCGTCGCCGTTTGTGTGTTGCCCCCTCGATTTCCCCCTCTCTCTTTGGCAGAGCGGTTTTGCTCAGTTTCTTGGTGAAAATTAAATTAAATCCGTTGTGATATTCGGCCCCGCCTTTCCGCTGCCTGCCACCCAAGAAGAGTGTCGTCTGCCACTCATTAAAGCCCCACTTTACCCCCTCACAAGAAAAAAAAAAGGAAAAAAGGAAAGCAGCGGGGGAGCGAGTGGCACCACTTTATATTGTACAAATCAATTGCCACGCCCCGCATGCGGCAAGTGCCACGCCCAAGCCATTTCCGATATATATCCTTGCCACCCCCCCCAACCCCAACCCCAACCCCAACCCCAAAAATATCTCCTTGGCAATCAGAAATCAAAAAATAAATATTAGAAAAAAGAACAAAAAAATATGCAAAAAAAAATGTGTGCCTGTGCCTGTGGGAGGCGTTGGGGCATGGCCTGGCTCCTGCTGTCTGAAAAAAAAGCAAATCAATCAAAGAAAATGTTTAATATTTTTCGCTATGCGCTTCACAGGACTCGCAGGAGGTGGCGTTGACACAAAACGAGAATGAAACTGAAGCTGAAGGCAGGCCCCCCCCCCCCATCAACCCACCAGGTGGGGGCTGGGGGGGGGACTCCACAATTGTCTGCCTTTGTGTCAGCTGTCAATTTTGTTGCTGCTGTTGTGTGTCGAACGATGACTTAGCTGGCAGGGCAACACATCCCTCAGATACACAGAAAAACGTAAACATTATCCGCCGTGCCTCGCCGCTCGCCTGTCCGTCCTTCGAGTACAGTCATCGACAAAAGGCAAAAGGAAACTGGGGCTAATGATCTCAAATGTGCTTACCCCTTGGCCCCCTTTGGCCCCCCCCCCCCCCCCCTCACTTGTGTCCTGCAACAAGAATCACAAATAATAATAAGAATGATAATAATATTGGAAAATAAATTGCTCTCTCTCTCTCTCTCTCTCCCTCTCTGTGGCAATTACAGAAAGGAAGCCTCTGTGTGTGTGTGTGTGTGTGTGCGTGTCAGTGCTGCCAGGTGACATATGCAGCAGAGTTGCCACCCACACAAACACATCCTCCGTACTGTTCTGCTTCATCGTTTATCTTCGTCAATGCTTTTTGATTTACGTGCTCTCGGTGATTGCCAACCTCCCCCCCCCCCCCCCCGCTCCACCATTCCCGAGCATGCCTGGCAACCCTACCGCTTGCGCTGAGACAACCCTGCCCGGCCCTGCCTGTGCCGCTAATGTGCCAGGTCAAAGGGCAACAATTTCCTTAAAAAAAAAATAGTATATATTAAAATAAGAGGAGGAAAAGGCTGTATGGCACTAGGGGTTACCCTGTAATCAAAAAAAAAAATACAAATAAATATGGAATACAAATCCCTGGGACTCCGATAGTTCTGCGGCGCCAAGTCGCCCGGAAAAACCATCATACCCCCCCACCATACGGC